TGTACCATTCAGAAAAACAAAACTGTCGCGTTTCACAATTTCGTTTCGCGGTCCCTATTTTTATAATAAACTGATATCCAAAAATGCCAATTTATTTTTTCAAACAATTTATGTTATCCAATTATTACAAAATTAGATAACATAAATTGTTTGAAAATCTTACTAAAAAAGTTTGTTTTAAATATCAGCAATTATTTAAACTTTCACTAAACAAAAACTGAAAGTAAAACCAAAATTATAATTGAAAACAAAATCCAAAAAACTTCAATAATATATATTATTATAAAAAATCAATATAAGTCAATAATAATTATATTTATGCTTAATAATATATTTATGTGTATTATGTGTACTACAAACAGTATTTACCAACTTTTTATTTCTACATTTTATTATATGTGAACCTAATATAAAATGAAGTATTTTGTGAAACTTGATACATTGTAAAACGAAAATACAAAAAATATTACAAGTACAAGCGGTTTCTTGATGACAAGACCATCTGGTCTTCTGCAAGTTTCCCGCGTTCTTTTAATATTAATGATACCCTACAATCATATTTTTTGTATTCTATAAAATTGTGATATATTTTTAGTATTATATATTTTAAAAACATTACAACTTTGTACCAATCATGTAGAATCACAACATTATAAAGATAAAAGAACAAAAAAAAAAAAAAAAAAAAAAAGTTTGAAAGAGCCTTCAAATCATTAAAACAAAATAAGCTATCGGAGCAGATCAAATAGATGGAAACGTTATTATAGATTGTTTTGAACAGCTAAAAGTTGTTCTTTTTAAAGTTTTTAAGCTTCTATTCATCAAGGTGTATTCCCCAAACAGCTAAAAATTGCCAAAATTACTCTTATTTTCAAAGAAGGGAACAAATCAATTATTAGTAACTTTCGCCATATTTCTGTTCTTTCCACATTTTCAAAAATTTTAGAAAGGATTATATTTAATTTTTTTTTTTTTTTTTTTTTAATTTTCCGTTTAATGTTACAATTAAATTCCGTAATATAATATACCAGGTACTCTTATTCTTTCAAAAATAAACCAGTTATAAATATAAAAAATCAAAGACAAAATGATAAGAGTTAGTTATACAAAAATAAATAAAAACGCGGGAAACTTGCAGAAGACCATTAAGTCTTATCATCAAGAACCGTTGTAATAATTATGTTTTTACAATATTAAATTCCTATAATAGTGTTAAAAGCAAAACTTAATTAACTAAGGTAAATAGTGTTAAAACCAGAAACTTTTCAATGTAAAAAGGTAAAAACAAAAAATTAAACAAACAAAAAAACAAAGCAGTTTAAAAGAAATCATTAATAAGATTTGTATACTTTGAAATATTCTTTTTTATTAGTTTTTGAAAGCAATTTATATTGTTTACACCTGGTAAATTACTATATTTTGCTAAGATTTTATTCCAGATATGCTGAGCATGATACGTAATTTTAAATTGTTCTTGTTTAGTTTTGCACAAGGGTTCAATTAAGCCTGTTGTGCGTAAAGTATATTTAATGTTAGGTTTTATTTCATAAAGATCATTAAAAAATGAGGGGCATTGTTGAAATTTACTTTTATACATGAGACATAAAATTTTATAAACGTTAATCTCGTATAACGTAAAAATATTCATAATTTCGAACAGTGGTTTTGCATGTTCGTTTTTATTTTTAAAATTTATTATTCTTAAGGCATGTTTTTGTTTTCGATAGAGTGATATAACAGAACTTACAGATATAACAGAGCTTATAAATATTTTCATGATAATAAATTACTTTACATAATCAACTCGGTCTTAAAAAGCATAGGTCAAATGAACATGCAATTATCCAATTTGTACGTGAAATCTCAAAATCATTTAAAAAATCACAATATACGTTTTGACTTTTTATTAATCAATCAAAAGCTTTTGATACGGTCGATCACCAAATTTTAATCTAAAAACTTAAATACTAAGCAATAAAAAATAAAGTTTTAAAATGGTTTGAAAGTTATTTGTCAAATCATAAACAATTTGTTCCGAGTACTGACGGTTATCACACCAATTATCTTTCTATAACATGTGGAGTCCCACAAGGCTTAATTCTTGGGCCACTCCTTTTCCTAATTTTTATTAATGATTTATATAAAGCCTCTAAACTAACAAGTAATATGTTTGCAGATGATACTAACTTATTCCTATCTAACAGTGATATCTTTGAGCTCTTTGAAACAATGAACAAAGAACTTAGATATGTATCGAGTTGATTTAAGTGTAATAAGTTAAATCTAAATACTAATAAAACAAAGTAGACCTTATTCCATTCACTTACCAATAAACGTTTTTTGCCTTTAAACTTACATCAAATTTTTATAGATCAAGTTAAAATAAAAAGGGATTCAAAATTTTTAGGTGTTTATCTTGATGAAAACATCACTTGGAATCATCATATCAATTACATAAGCACTAAAATTTCAAAAAACATAGAACTTTATATAAGCACAAATCTACCTCAAAAAACTTTTAATCTAACTTTATTATTCATTTATACACATTTATTTAATTTATACTAATATTGCCTCGGGTAATACAGAAAAAAGTAAGTTGCAACGTCTTTATCGCCGTCAGAAACATGCAATTCGTTTAATCTGCTCTGCAATTCGCTTTTCTCACACAAAACATTTTTTTTTGAAATATGAATTTTAAATATATACGAGCTAAATATATATATAATATTTTATGAATTGTATACAAGTGGAAAAATGACTTGTCCCTATCTGTCTTCAAAGACATTTTTAATTCGAAACCTATCACCAAGTACAAATTGAGAAATATTGATTTTTTAAATAAACCTTTTTGTCAAATGAACTTTAATCAATTTTGTATTGCCTATCGGGCACCACACCTTTGAAATAAAATTATTTTGCCGAATTTTGATTTTAAACTACCCATTATTTTTCGCCCCTTTTTAAAAGTAAATTAAAAATCCAAATTTTTTCATTTGATGACGCTTTATGTTATCATTTATAGTATGAATTAATAACTTTGCTTTTACTTATTTACATTAATAAAAAGTTTATTCTTTCTTATTTTGTTAATTTTTATACTTTTTACTTAGCATTTTATTATATTTTGGTACGTATACGTTTACATAAAATATTAGTGAGTAGATCCGCATGATCTCTCTTTTGATTATATACTATAAGTTTCTTCGACCATTTAATGATGATTTTGTTTGTTGTTTAATTCATTTATTGTATAATAGCCTGAAATCTGTTCTGGTTTTCATAAATTAGGATTTCATTGAAATTTAAAATTAGCCTCCATGTCATCGACACCAAATTCAGCACTGTCAGGTCGCTGAAATTTGGTGTTGATTACATTTTCAAAGATCTTCTTTAGTGAGCTCATCAAACACAGATCTGATCTTGCAAACAACTTCTAAGGGAAACCCAAAACCTGGCTTGTAAGTGTATTAGTGTTATTCACTTAGCCGCTATTAAATTTACTTCAACTACTTATACCTGTTGGGCAATGTGGGCCAGTTGATAACTTTTAAAGTCAGATTCCAAAATGCTTCTGATAGTGCGTTACGCATTCAAATTTAGTCACTTGAGTGTCAAGATAAGCATCCTTGAAACTATCGTAGCATTTTCTCTGCTACCCAAAATATTATCGTACTTTAATTTATGTTTTTTTACCGATCCTCAAAAATGCAACTGGCTCTTTAGCATTCCATTCCCCCTGAAAAAAATTTCATTTTAAAAACACGGCAACTTTTCCACAAGGTAAAAGCAGTAGGATCTCTTTTAGGGAGGTTCTTATTTAAGAAGCATCCCCGGCATACTCGATTCATCACTTCAACATTTAAAACTCTTTCACTGTTCTTTGGGAGTGCTTCAAACACACCAATGGAAAAACTCTCTACGCTTCCATATGTCATCACAAGATGTGCAAATATCCGAAATATCATCATCATTTTGACACTATGTCTAGAATCAGCTACAGCATCAACCATTGTCAAAAATGTCCAGATTTGAATTCCCTGACCGCAATTACCTATATTTAGACAACATGTCCCATCTAATTTTTAAAACCATCAAGACAACCCATGACCACCCTTAACAACCCCTATAATAACCACTTGAATGGTCATGACCACTCCAAGCTTGGAGCCCAAAAATGAAATCATTGACCTCAAAAACCCATATAAACATGCATCATATGTCTATAGGGGTAATAATATATTTACCTCATAAAATGTTTTGCCATTTTTTGACAATTTTGGCCCACTGTGCATTGTAGAGAATATCTACAAAGTCAAACCTGTCTCGTCCCAAGATTATCTAAAATTATCTTTTTATTTTACGTCTATAATTATCTTACGTACGCTAATATTATATTGGCAAGTACACGCAAATCCAAATAAGCTCCCTACAATAACATTTTTATATTTGAAGAAAAATTTTGTTGGATTTTTTAGAAAAAACCTGTTAGTATTTATAATAGAAAATATTGTTTATTAAATTACGTTATACTTTGTTAAATTTCTTAAATTACGTTATATTACGTTATGTTATATACATTGGATATTGCATTTTATTATGTCATGGAATTGTAACGTAATGAACTGTAAATATAAAAATAATGAAGCTATAAATAAAAATTTGAAAAGGAAGCTTATTATACTAATGTTGATTCGACATGAGTATATAAGTAATACCGCACAATACAAGACCATCCTCTCGGTAACAGCTTACGCGATAACGATTATCTAATGCTTAACTTTTAGGGGCTGATATGAGTATTTCCGAATATAATAAAGATGTAAACAATTTAAATTTTTGATAATAGAACTCTTGCTAAGAAAAAAAAATGTTTTCAATATTGTATTCTTTTATTTTCACGCAAACTTGTATCAATTTTCAATTTTTTTGTTACTGTAGGAGAACCTTTTCTTTAAGTACCCCAGTATTCCCTAAAACTACTCATAAAGTATTATAAATACGAACACTCAAGCATTATTACGTTTATTTTTTACATTTATTTTTATTTATTTATCCAAAATTTCAAATCATCTGAAATTTTAAAATTGTTGAAATATGCTAAAATTACAACTCCACAAGCAATTAGTAGAGTTCCAGCTGTCCAATACTTATTTCCACCACTTCTATTAATTTTCTTATTTAATCCATCTGTAATAAAGCGAACCATGAAGTTTTCTTTAGAAGGATATGGAGGATAACGAACACTAAAAACAATTATATTTATTATAAGGAGAGCACATTTTGCATAGTTTTCTTTTCTTTATTAATTCAACTTTTACTTTATTTTAAAACTTTGACTTCAATCTGGAATTAATTAAATATTAATGTTATTAAGCAAAAAATAATTATTATTAGCATGAAAAAAGTAATGACGAAAAAACTGTGATAAAATGTTATGTTCTTTGCATACAAATTATAGAGCATAAATTTTAATGTAAATTGTATGCAATTGTAATCAATTTTTGTAATGGATATAAAATTTTTTAAGTTTAAAAACAATTGCATAGTAACCCACTTGTTAAGACTTTCAAATCTCTGACTTGCAATCAAGCATGATTTTTGGTGGGAAAAGGTTTTTAATGAATGTATTCCATTATACGCCCCCATTCCACTTTCACCAACTCCTCCGAATGGTAGAGATAGTGCTAAAAATATAACAATATATAACAACAATGCTAAAGCATAACATAAAATGATGAAAAAAACTTAAATAATTAAAAAATAAAAATATAATTAGATAAAATTTCAATTTTGTTTATTCAATATAACTGACCGGTAGCATGCATTATGACATCGTTTACGGTTACCCCACCAGAAGAGGTGTTCTGTAAGACAAAATCGATTGTTTTTTTTTCTTTTGAAAAAACGTAAAGAGCAAGTGGTTTCTCTCTAAAAAACATATTATCTCCCATAAGTAAAAAACTTAAACCTTCAGAATCAAAATAGTTATTTTATCAAAAAAAACTATTTTGATTCTGTTATCACGGTTAGCCTTGTTGATTAAACTGTGTTCATGTTAAAACTTGTCGTTTTTTGACCTTAGTTCACAATCTGTTATACTTCTATAAAGTTCTTATGTCAAAATTTTTTTTTTAGTGCCAACATATTTCCCTCAGTAAATTGTTTCGATATTTGAAGTTATAAGAACCTTACATCAGTTTTGTCCATGATACAGTGTTAAAGAGGTAGTGAGCACTTCATCCTGATTGCTCTGAATAAACTCCAAAACCATTTTTATTTTCTTTGCAGAACTTAGATTGAACAGGAGACATTATAGGAGTTCCAACAGCAGGCCTTTTTAACATTAGTTTAAAAACATTAATCTAATTCAAAGTTCCAAAGCAAGACTTAAAACCTTTATTTTATTTGGCATATTATCAAACATTACCCACTTTTTTAGAATTTCTCAACAAAAATTTCCATTAATTTTTTTCTCACGCTAGCTCCTAATAATTTGAAATTCTTTATAAATCTCCATCGTTTTCATTTTTGACTAAACCTGTTCTACCTTATTAATAACATTGCTAACTGTTGCCCCCCACCCACCCACCCATTATTTGAAGCTCTGGTTACAAGAAATTCTAAAGGGTTTCTATGTACTAAAACAGGGCGTTTACAATTATTAAACAATGTACAGAGAGAATATAAGCCAGATTCTTTGTAAGGTTTTCTTAACATCTCTCGAAGTTCCTGTAAGGATCTTTGATTTCTTCAGATATTTGGAGAGCAAAAAAAGAAACGAATTATTTACTAAAAAATCTTTGCATCTTTTTTTCAGACCATCTTTTTAAAAAAACCCACCTATTATTTCAAATAAAATATTTTCTTCAATAAATGGTCGAAAAAGGTAACTATCCTAAATAAGAGACACTGTGTTTCAGGTTTTACAGGATTTCAATTTTTTTTTTACAACTTTTTAATTTAAATTTTTTCATTTAACTACTTATGATGCAACATTTCATTGTGCAAAACTAAATTTTGTTAGAATTGTGGTTTTACCTTATCATACTAGGCAGCTTTATTAATTGATGAACTCGTAAAGATAGAGAATTCTTAATTTTCTTTCAACTTTACATTTTATGGGGACAAAAGTTTTAAACAACTTTACATTTTACTTGTAAAAAAGTCAAAATGTTAAAGATTTTAAAATTTAATTGGGCGGGAAAGACATCTTTCTTTCTTCTATATTGTAGCATTTGTTAAAGATTCTAATACTTTACCATCCTGATACAGATTATATGTTCTATTTAGTAGATATATTCCATAGAAAACAATTTTACAATAAAATTATTATAGATAGAAAAAACAAATATTCTGTATCAGGATATTAAAGTATTAGAATTGCGTAATAACATGTAGTGACACCATATCGTGATTTTCACTTTTTTCAAAATGTGGTTTAATTCATTTCTTAAAGTAATGTGAAAAGTATTTATCCTATATAGTTTTTATTTATTTGGAAATTATTGAGTATAGCAATCTTGGACACAACTCAGTCGGTTATCGATTATGTAAATATTTATGTAGCTCTGGCTGTTGAATTTTTCTTAAATCTTTGACCATGAAAAACTCATACTTTTTCTCGATCTAAATCTTTATCCTCTTCTGAGGATAAAGGGGAGGAGAAGAAATTTACGGAAGCTTCACATTTTTAAAACAAATATTCTTGCTGGAATGTATTTTGAGAATATATCTGTGACAAAATAAAATCAAACATATTTTGAAATAAAATAAAACATTTCAAAAAATTTATATTATTACAAGTACTTATATAAAAACAGATATCATGACCAGATTTACGATAGTTGGTAAAGTTGTTTTCATAATGACACCAATATATATTAAAAGTGCCACAAGTATATATCCACACTGGATAGGAGTTTTCTATTTTTGTGAACTACACAATAATAAGTGAGCTAAATACGATCAAAAAACGCTAGTTTTAACATGAACACAATTCAATCAAAATAAATATGGTTAAGATTAAACATGCTACTAGCTTGAATTACTAAGAACTTGTTTATACTGACTTATTATTGTAAGACTTATTAAATTGAGTATAACTAACTTTGCTTAACCTTGTCGTTATTAAGTATATAGATTCTACATAAGAAAAAAAACCAAAATCATTTCCAGAGATTTTTATTCTATAATTAATAAAATCTTTTTGATAAGATTAGACAGTTAACTTATAATTAATAAAATCTTTTTGATAAGATTAGACAGTTGACTTATAATTAATAAAATCACTTTAGTAAGATTAGACAGTTAACTTATAATTAATAAAGTCTTTTTGATAAGATTAGACAGTTAACTTATAATTAATAAAATCACTTTAGTAAGATTAGACAGTTAACTTATAATTAATAAAATCTTTTTGATAAGATTAGACAGTTAACTTATAATTAATAAAATCTTTTTGATAAGATTAGACAGTTAACTTATAATTAACAAAATCTTTTTGATAAGATTAGACAGTTAACTTATAATTAATAAAATCTTTTTGATAAGATTAGACACTTAACTTATAATTAATAAAATCTTTTTGATAAGATTAGACAGTTAACTTATAATTAACAAAATCTTTTTGATAAGATTAGACAGTTAACTTATAATTAGTAAAATCACTTTAGTAAGATTAGACAGTTAACTTATAATTAATAAAATCTTTTTGATAAAATTAGACACTTAACTTATAATTAACAAAATCACTTTAGTAAGATTAGACAATTAACTTAATCTCTGTCTAATACATACTTAAGAACACAAAATACGATAAAAATCCAAATTTAAAAATTTTTGTTGTTGTGGGTAAAAAATTCAAAACATTTTTTTTTCTTTTGTTTTCTTTCTTTAGATCTGGTACAAAAAATTTAAAATAACTTATTTAGTATTAAATTTTTACCAAACTTTTTGTTTGTTCTGTTTGAGAAAATACTTAATAAAATTAATAAAAACTTAACAATATACTCATAACTTAAGTTGAAAGAATATATTTGCATTTGAGGCAGTTATGCAAAATTATAAGACAAACAAACACCAAATTTTGTAGTTTTTTTTTAAGATCTGAACACATCTTTCATTTACCTGGAAAACATCGCGTAAAAGCATTTTAGATATATTTGATATATATTGAGGAAACAAAAAGTAAAAACCTTGTTCACGCACTTGAAAATTTTCTCATTCTAAATTTACTTTTACTATTATGCAAAAAATATTGAAAAAGTTTTTGCACCTTAAACTATGTTATTACGTTAAATTCTAGTTACGTTTTTTAGAAAATTTTTTGTAAAAATTTATATTATTAAAGCCGTAGTGGTGTAGTGGTGTAGTGGTGTAGATTTCTAGTTTCGAACACAGAGGTCTGAGGTTCGATGCCGACTCTAGCCCTATAAGTGACATTGGTAAGGAAGGTGACACTTAACTTCCTCGCTGCTCTGTAATAAGACCACAAGAACCTCTGAGAGCACCTTAATTACTACAAAAAACAAAAAAAGATAAAAATAATTTTAATAAAAACGTAACTAGAATTTAGTGAAAAATGCTATAAAATGTCTATGAAATTTGAAAAAAAAATCTTATGGCGTTTTATTTAATTTTTAGAAATGAATTTGTATATATTAATTGTATGTATATTGATTTCTGAACTTTTGTTATCACTGTTAATATCTTTTACCTTTGGTTGACAAACTGAACGGCTTCTTCCACATCAACAACATTAATTATGGGAAGTAATGGACCAAATATCTCTTCTTTCATAATATCATCATCAACTGATATATTTTTTAATATCGTTGGTGATATGTAAAGATCTTTTTCATCAAAATCTCCGCCATGTACAATGTTTGATTTTTTTATCAATTTGGTTACTCTCCTTTAAAAAAACACACTCTAATCAATCATTTTTATCAAAATTTATTTTAATATATTTATAATTAATTATACAATATTATATGCTATTCAATGTACTTATGTCAATATCTCGCAATACTTATCAACATCTGTGAAAAAAAACTTGATATGTTAAATAATTACTGAAAATTTCGATTGTTAATTATTCTTCCATAATCAGTTGATCTTTGTGGATCTTCACCATAAAATTTTAAAATACTTTTCTTGAGTGCGTTAATTAATTCATCTTGTATACCATCAACACAAAGAATATAGTCAACCGTAAGACAAGTCTAAAGTTTTGGTTGAAATAAAATAGTATTGTATGTAAATAAATCTGTAAGAAAAGTATAACGATGCCATTGAAATAAAGAACGTGGTCTAAGATTATGATAAATACAAATTAAAAGATAAAGACAACACCATTTTTTTTTTTTTTTTTTATAAAACTAAATGTTATACAATTTTAATTGCTTGGAGCGTACGCATTATGTTAATGGCATACCCATAGTTGCGTACCCATGGTGTTAGCAAAAAGTATTTTTTAAAAAAGCAATTTTATTAAGTGTAAAAACAAAAAGAAGAAAGGAAATTAAGAAACACCGCATAATAAAAAAAATATTATTAATTATAAAAAAATACATAAGATCTTATACATTTTTTTATAATTTTCATTTATGAAGCAAAAAAGTACAGAAAACGTCTTTTGCATCATTCAAATAAAAAAAAATATTTATATTTATTTAGAAAATAAACACAAAGATTATAATTGAAGATTATAAAAAATACAAAGATTATAATTGAAAAACAAAAATTAAATTGAGGGATACGCGTAAGAAGAAAAATTTCTATTTTCCCAGGGTCGTAAGTTATACGCCGGGGTCTTACTTTATACACTAAATGTCTTACGTTATTTAACCCTTCCTTAAAACTTTTACGTCACTATTGTTATGTATATCAACTTGCAACATATTACTAAATTGAAATTATATATTAAAAATTAATTTATTAAAATTGGTTTTGAAACCCAAGAAAATTATAATGCTTACTTGTCCTGCATTTATAAATTTCCCCCACGCAATTCGATTTGCAACAACATCTAAGTCACACGACTTATCAACTATTGCTGGGCTAAATTATAAATTTATTTTCTAACTTAAAATGTAACTAAAAGTTGTTTTTAAAAAACATTTTTTTTTTATAAAGATTTAAAAATGTACCATTTTCCACCCATTTCTAGTGTGACTGGAGTAAAATAGTTACTTGCTGCTTTAAGAATAATTTTTCCAACATTAGTACTACCAATGTAAAAGATGTAATCAAATCTTTCACGAAGTAAGGCTGTAGTTTCTGGAATTCCGCCATTTATAACTTTGACAAATTCCTGCCAAAATATAAAGGTCATTTGTATATTCAAAATTTGAAGAATGCAGTTAAAAATTAGAAGCGTTTTTATAAATAAGATGAGCTTGTTAAAAATTTAGATAAAAAAGTTAAAATTTAAGGTGATGGGGTTTTTAAAAATAAAACGAAAGTGGTGGTTTAAATTAATATGATTAGATGTTAAAAGGAGAGAACACTTTTAAAAATGTGATGCTAATAAATCTAAATTTTTTAAACTTTTCAAATAATTGTACAACCCCCCCCCCCCCCATTGTGTATTATGTATTGTGTATTTCAAATAATTGTACAACCCCCCCCCCCCCAAATGTGTATTATGTTACACATACATGTGTAACATAATACACATTTATCTCAAATATATGTCAATATAACGTCTAAGCAATTTTTAGGATTTTGTATGGATTTAAAATGTAGTGTAACTCTTCCATTAAAATACGGTTAGTTTGGGTGGTTACGTTTAGAGACCATTAGAGTAATGAAATCTCAATTTTGATGCCAAAAATGGCATTCAAAAGAAATAGATTTCTTTTAATCAGAATCTATGGTCTAATATTTTTATTTTACTTCATATAGGTTACGTATTCTGCCTCATTATAGAACAGCCTAAAACATATATATAGTTTTTACAAACGTATCCATTGCTACTAATTTAAACAAGATATTTGATTAATGATTCTAAACATTAGAAAGATTCTGAGAATTATGTTTGATCTGGCTCTGAGAATTATGTCGCCAGCTCCATTAAAAAAGCAAACAACTATAATACAAAAATCAAAATGTTAAGTTTGTTATAATACGTAAAAAATTGAGGATCAAAATTAGTTGAGAATGCTTTAACTTAATAAAAAATAAAATTAATTGTTATTAACTTATCAAATAGCTGTTAATTGTTAATAAAAGAATTAATAAAAAATTAAAAAGATAAAAATTTATCACTTTATTTTGGTTGTTGACTAGATAGGTAATATTATCGCTTATTTATTTGATTTCAGCATTACTTCCATTTTAATGCTCACAGTTTATAAGTTTCATAAAAATTATATACAAACAAACTATATATTTTATATAATTTAAAAAAAAGTAATTTAATAGTTTATAGAAACAATTAATTACATTATCCAAATATTTAGGGATAAGATTTCCAATTGTAGTTGCAATATTTG